TACTTAGCATCTGGCATACTTATTGTTTGCTTTACTGCTCCCCCTCCAACAGACTAAAATGTCTATTGTATGAAAGAAGGGGCTTTAAAAAATAATCTTTTGGTCAGGCATGGTGACTCTCACCTATAATCCCAGAACTTGGGGTGGCTGAGGTGAGAGGACTGCCTGAGCCCAGGGGTTCAAGACCAACCTGGGCAACTTGGCGAGACCTCATCTCTACAATAAATCAAGAAAAATTAGCTGGGCATGATGGTGCATGCCTGTGGTTCCAGCTTCTTGGAAGGCTGAGGCAGAAGGATCACCTGAGCCCAGCAGATCGAGGCTGCGGTGGCCATGAGCCTGCCACTGCCCTCCAGCCTGGGCAATAGAGTAAGACTCCGACTCAAAATAAATAAACAAATAAAAATAAAAAATAATCTTTTTCCGAATGACCAGGGACATTTATATAGAAGAGAGGCATAGCCTTCGACAGAAGAGTCAACATTTTGGGGATCCCCAACCAATGCCTATCAGAGGTTTATTGGTAACTGTCCTAGGTCACTCACAATGTCTAATTCTGCATTGTTGATCTGAGAAGGTAATTCAATAGCATCATGATAATATACATAGTCAATGAAATTAATTTATAAGTAGCTTGGGTTTAAGTCACATAGTAAATTATAAACTATTTTTTGAGAAGCATATTAAGATAATACAATGGCACATTTTTGTGCAAAAATTAACAGAAGTTCATTCTACCTTCCCATATCTTTTCATAACTACTATTCACAAATTGATAAAGAATATAGTTTTAATTAAAGTGTATTAAAAACTTAGCAATTGCTCTCATTATATAGAAAATGAAGCCACATAGTAACTATAGATAGAAATGCAATTAAATTACAGTCAAAGGCCTGGGGCTTGGTGGCTCAGTCTGTAATTCCAGCACTTTAGGATACTGAGACGAGTGGATTGCCTGAGCCTGTGGGTTCAAGACCAGGTGGGGCAACTTGGCAAGACCTCGTCTCTACAATAAATAAGAATTAGCCAGGTGTAGTAGCGCATGCCTGTAGTTCTGGCTACTTTGAAGACTGAGGTGGAAGGATTGCCTGAACCCAGCAAGTCGACGCTGCAGTGGCTGTGAATATGCCACTGCACTCCAGCCAGAGTAAGACTCTGACTCACAAAAAAAAAAAAAAAAAAATACAGTCGAAGCCCCTTTGTTTCAAAACTATTCCTTTCTCACCCTTCAGAAAAGTATCTTGAATGATATTTTGGGATTTTCTTCTTCCCCTGCAACCCCACCCTCCTGACCCCACCTTAAACTGTAGAGTTTGGAGTAACTGCCTATTTTGGCATTTTGTAGACATCTATTGCTGTCTTGTAATTAGGCATTTCAGGCTGTTATGTTTACTCTAGACTTGAGTCAGCTAATTCCCTAAACTCTGAAGTCTAGCTCTGAAAAACATACATCTTATTCATTCCTGATCTAGGTTTAAACTCATCCTTGGCCAGGCTCAGTGGCTCAAGACTGTAATCCCAGCCCTTTTGGGAGACCGAAGAGAGAGGATTGCCTGAGCCCAGGGGCTCATGAGCTCAACCTGGAAAACTTGGTGAGACCTTGTCTCTACAATATATCAAAAAAAAATTAACTGGGTATGGTAGCACACATCTGTAGTTCTGGCTACTTAGAAGGCTGAGGTGAAAGGATCGCCTGAGCCCAGTGGGTTGACACTGGGGTGATAGTGAGCGTGCTACTGCACTCCAGCCTGGGCAACTGGGCAACAGAGTAAGACTCTGACTCAAAACAAAACAAAACAAAAAACTCATCCTTAATTCCTATGCAGCTAGATAGGCCACAGAGGCAAGGAAATGCCTTTTATTGCTAGAGGTTGGGGATGGAACAGATGTCTCCAAATTAGAAAGGATATCTAGCAGGACACCAGCCTCTATACTTGTCACAGGTTCTCAGTTCCCCAAGCTCCCTATATGCCACAACTGAGTGTACTGTCTCTCTCACTACTGAATCCGGTGCTAGCCGGATCTGTACACATCACTAAGATTGTGCCACTGTTCAACACTGGGTCAGGTTTTTAAAGAGGTTATAGAACATTATTTTATGCTATACACTCGTATGTTATATAAAAATGCTATGTTAGTATTATTATATATCCTTTAAACTTTTCTGGTTGGGGGTGGGGTTGAAGTTAGAGTAAGATGAGACACAAATAAAAATGATTTTAGGACAGAGCAGTACAATAGAGCTTTTGCAGTGATGGAAATGACCTACATCTGCGCTGTCAATGCAGGAGCCGCTAGTCACAAGATATCTTGGACTTGGAATACAAGAAATTTAAAACTGTTCAAAGGGGATCTTGAATAAGATCCTGAGACTTGGCCATTGCTCCTTGTGCCATGGTCACCACGTTTTCTAGCTTTGGCCCCCTTCCCTAACTTGAGAAGGTGAATCTCCTCTCTCTTTCCCTAATTTACTTTCTAAATAAACTATATTTTCCAATCTAAAAAAAAAAAAATCCTGAGACTTCCATGTAACTAGTCTCTTTTCTCATCTCAGGATATGGTGATCCTTTCAGAGAAGGAAAAACAGGCATCACATAGAGATAATTTCTAAGGAGATTGTTAACTTAAAAAAAAAAACTCAGGCAGAGGCCAGATTTTTAAATGGGAAATCAGAGATCAGGTCTATTTCTGTCTGTTCCTTTGCTGGCCCTCTTCACTTTACACCACTACCTGCTACCCTAGCCTTATTTTCAAAGCTGAGAATTTTTACTCTGGCATTGTTTTGGAAGGTTTGTAGGGGCAAGCGTTTACTTGGGAGATCCTATGTTCTTGAGGAGTTCCTATAATGGCCTGGGTTTGGATGCTAGAGTAGTTGTCTCCTTTAAAACCACATATAGGGCAGATGCGGTGGCTAATGCCTGTAATCCTAGTGTTTTGGGAGGCTGAGGTGGGAGGATCACTTAAAGCTAGGAGTTCAAGACCAGCCTGGGTAATGTAGCTAGACCTCATCTCCACAAAAAATAGTAGACCTAGCTGGGAAATGAGGGTCTACTCAAGTATTTCAGTGGAGAAGTTCAGGTGCTACTCAGTACAGTTGAGTGGAGGAGTTCTGACCTGACACTGAGGAAGCTTTATGAAGTGAGAAGCATGTTAAAAGGTAGAAACAAAAGGAAAGAAGAATGACAGAATCTCTCAGGGTTGGACAAAGTGAGATGTTTAAAAGGTCAGGACTCAGAGGCCTATAGAGTTCCAGACAGCTAGAGATCTTCTTCCTGTTTTTTCCAATCTGAGGTCAGCACCAGTGGCAGTAGCAAAAGGTATACATTCTCTGCATGTGCTGAAAAGTCACCTGTCATGGAGCAAGAAGGTGAACAGGGTTGCCTACTGCTCTGTGCAGGTGTGCTAATGTCAGGCAGACCATGGAAGTCACCAGGATAGCTTGATGAACATGCAGAACTCAAGCCCCCACCCAGTGAGACTCTGATTCCAGCAGATTTTAGGTAGAGAATGCCAATCTACATTTTTAACAGGTGATTCCAATATACAGCTAGATCTGGGGGCTCCTGCCAAGACTGGGAGAAACAACATATCAGGGGAGGTGACCAGGAGATAAATAGCACCAGTCATACTAGAACTGAGTCCTCTGGTTGGGGAATCAGAATAATAGAGCTCTTTGCCCAGATCCCACTGGGATGCATAAGGCATTATTACAACTTTTGCCTCACACAAGAAAGAAAGGGCTTACTTGCTGGTTATCTACTTTCTACCAATTCTTAAGAGAATGGACTTAACTCATCATCTAATACCAAACATTGTCTTAGCATTTTTTGTATATGTGGGTGATAGATAATAGCAAAAGTATATAAAATCTACAAAGAAGATTACATATGTTCTTAGATTAGGATCCCATAAGAACAAATATTTACTAATAATCAGGGAGCATACATGGGGACATTCCAAACAGAATCTTTTTTTTTTTTTTTTTGAGTTGGAGTCTCACTGTTGCCCAGACTGGAGTGCATTGGCCGCTTCCGGCCACCGCAGCCTCGACCTGCCGGGCTCCAGCGATCCTTCCGCCTCAGCCTTCCAAGTAGCTGGAACTACAGGCGCACGCTACCACGCCCGGCTAATTTTTTTGATTTATTGTAGAGATGAGGTCTCGCCTGCCCGGGCGGGTCTCAAACCCGTGGGCTCAGGCAATCCACTCACCTCAGCCTCCCAAAGGTGCGGGATTACAGGCTGAGCCACCAAGCCCGGCCCCAAACAGAATCTTATTATGGAATTTTAGTGTGAATGGATAGCAGCTTCACAAGTCACAGTCTTCTATGTGATAGGAAAATACTGAGGGGAAACAGTGTTCAAATTGGGCCCAGCCACCCCATGAACTTAAAAGCTTGCTCTGTTGTACAGAGATTTTGCTTCATATTTGTGACAATCCATAGCAGTGATGGCCGTGCTCACATGTTCCCTGCTTCCCGCTTCCTTCCTTGAAGCCACTGGGAACTCTCAGGGCTGAGTTCACATCTCTGTGGAATGTGCTGGTGAATTCTTTGGTGAAAGACCCATCTCCCTGTTTTTTTATTGTCTCTTCCCTTTCACACTGGGCAAGATGTGAAAGGAAGGCTTATGGATTTACTCCACTGAAACTGCTTGGATACTGCTTGGTGCCTGGTAGGCCCTAGGCCACAAAGTCTCCGAAGCATGCACATATAGGAAGATCAAGAAGAGAAGAAAGGCAGGATTTACTCCACTGAAACTGCTTGGATACTGCTTGGTGCCTGGTAGGCCCTAGGCCACAAAGTCTCCGAAGCATGCACATATAGGAAGATCAAGAAGAGAAGAAAGGCAATATTCTTGTTTCATTGGTATTGTGTGCTGCTCACATAAGGTTCCTCAGTATCTTTTCTAGGCACAAATTTAGACACAAAGATTCTTCTGCTTCAGTGGGTGTGGGCACACCTCATGCTCCACATGATGCCTACAGAGACACAGTTAAGGCTCAAAAGCAGTCAAGGAAGGTGGCTGAGGCTGATACCAGGTGGGGACAAAGCCTCTTCAAACCTCTTGGTAGACTTGCTCAGGGAGGGTCCAGGCAGATAGAAGATCCAGTGACAGGTTTCTCTGTTCTTGTTCAGATCTGACATGGCGGTAGCCCAACAAATCCATGGTATCACCGCAGATTTTCTGAAGTTGGGAAACCTTTCCATAAGGCAAAGACCAGCGCCAGGCCTGGGAAACATTGAGGGCATTCCTGGCGTTTGTGTGGAAGGCGTGTTGACCCATGCCCTTGCCCCGGGTGATGTTGTGCACCCAGGTCTGAAGGTGGGGCAAGAATTTCAACCCCACGTACTCATACATTCGAGAGGTCTGGGCTAAGGGGGCCCGGACCAGGTCCTCATAGCGCATGAGCAGGTAGCGTTGCTGCAAGGCTTTGGGCAAGGACTGGACGGAGTTGTAGATCTCCAGCTGGCTTTGGCAGATGACCTGCATCACATTGTAGGGTTGGTCCTCCTTCTTGAGTTCGTGCCAGTGCTGCCCCATCACAATGTGACTGTCAATCGTGAGTTCCCCCTCGGTGTGTTCTCGGGAACGGAACACAGCCCGGGGGTCTCGGACCAGGTGCACAATGTGCAGGTTGAGGGAGGGGTCTGTCAGCAGCGGGTAGAGGCTTTTCAGGTTGAAGAAGCGCACCTCCTTGAGCACCACATGGCTGTAGGAGCGGCAGGCCTTCTCCACCACCTCAAAAGGCTGTCGATTACACAGGAGTTTGCAGTGAGCCTGGGGGATGATATTACCCCGTGGGAAGATGTTGCAGGCAGGTGGGGAACACAGGGCCCGGCTGTTGTCCCACTGGAAGAGACTGGACTGTCTCCGGGGACCAGGTTTCATGTAGGCATCAAAGACGCTCATGTCACACAGAAACACAGCCCGGATCAGATCCCGCACGGCCATGTGCAGCCTCCAGGCCGTGCTCTGTGTGAAGGTCATCCACACGTGCCAGGCGGGCTCCATCAGGTAGAAGACATCTGGGTGCTGCCCAAAAAGTTGCCCCACAAAAGAAGAGCCAGAGCGCCAGGAAGACAGGATCAGCACGTGTGTGTGCTTGGGAGCCTCCCTCCTAGACAGGGAGCTGACATTGTTGCTATACATGTGGAAGAACAGAGCAACGATCGCCATCTGGGAAACCAGGAACAGCAGTAGCCTCAATTTTTTTGGCAGCATCATGGTGCTGAAGTGGAAGACCTTTAAGGAACAAGCAGAAGAGGCTGAGCTGGGTTGCTGTTATAGTATCTGCCTTCCATTCACCTTCTAGTCAAAGCCACCTTCTCCCTGACCCGTACCCAAAGAGCTGCATAGAAAGCCAAAACATTCCTGTAACCAAAGGCACAAATTCCTCTCCAAATCAATTCCTGTCCCTCACACTGAGTTTGTCAATCAGTTCCATCTAGTTTAGGGTCTTTAATTTCTCCCTCCTGAGTTCTTTCTTGTCCCATAAACATCTGAACTCAGTCATATTTAGTCAACACAGGGGAATGACTCCACCATGGGGTCATGGCGCATATCTTCACATAGACTGTTTGGGTGAAGCTTTGCTTCTGCCTGACCCATCTTGGTTGAACGTTTTGTGATTTTTCCAGGAACTAAGGGAGATAAGCTGCCTAGCGAAGAACTGCCTCAGGGCACCCACCTCACTTTCCATCTTGAGGGAGATTGCCACAAGGCCACTTCTCATCTCCCTCCCCCATTGTAATTAAGGATAGAACTCTCCACTTCAATCCCCTGAAGGTTAGGGTTCTAGGCTATAAAACTGCTTGGCTTTAGTTTGAGTTGTCTCCTCAGAGGCAGAGTCAAGTACCCATGGAGTCTGTCATCTGGTTCCCCCTAATTTGATCTCATCCTGTGGGACTGGGGGAACTGATCCAATGCTGACCTTGTGTCTATGTAGGTAATCAATGATGTGAATCTATTTGAGCTGAATCATTGTCTCCTTACCCGCTGACTCTAAGAAAGTGTGGCAAGCTCACCTAAGAGCTGCAGAGCTCAGTACTGAGTCACTTTCAATGGTGAAAGTTGTGGGCTGTTGGCTCTAAAGCTGCTACTTAAAAAAATGCTTGACCATATGACACAGGCTACTCAGGGGTGCTTAGTGTAGTTGAGCAAGTTGTGTACTGGACAACCCTAGGGAATGCCATTTCATCAAGAATTTAGATATTCATTATATACAAAATTTTCTGTAGGTGACAGTAAAGTATCTTGGTCCAACAAAATTAGATGGTTTTCCAGTTGTGAGATGTTAAATATCTAGAGAAAGGAGTTTCACTTTGCAATTTACAATGAGGCTCATACTAACTGTTGGTAACCCTGAACTTAGTTCCTTTGCAATCAGGGCTTAATTCATATGAAAAGGCCATAGTTCCCAGTACCATGCTAGAATATTTTTGCAGGAAAGATTTTTAACCCTCCTTCCCACATGACTCTGAATCATTTTGGGTGACTTCCTGACATAAATACCTATTGAGAGATATCATAACAATTATACCTAGTAAATGTTAATAGTATCAAAGTGTTAATTTGTTTATCACTATGTACGTGAGAAATTCTCCCTTCCAGCTTTAATTTTAAAAAAGAGATGGCCAGGCACGGTGGCCCATGTGTAATTCCAACACTTTGGGAGGCAGAGGTGAGAGGATTACCTGAGTTCAGGGGTTCAAGACCAGCCTGGGCAACACGGCAAGACCTCGTCTCTACAATAAAACAAAAAATTAGCTGGGTGTGGTGGTACATGCTTGTGGTTTCAGCTACTTGGAAGGCTAAGGTGGAAGGATTGCCTGAGCCCAGCAGGTTGAGGCTGCAGTAGCCATGAGTGTGCCACTGCACTCCACCCTGGGTGACAGAGTGAGACTCCGACTCAAAAAAAAAAAAGAAAAATAAAAGCATCTACAGACTCAGAAAGCCCTAAGATTCTGCATGTAAAGAGGAAAGAAGAGTGCTTTCCAGCCTGCAGCCCAGCCTGACACACCCAGGCCTTTAGCATATATGACAGGAGAGGGGAAATCTTATGACAAGCAGTTGTGTCTGTGAGGGAAACCTGTAGTCTGAAATTGGAAAAAGTTCTAGAGGTATTTGTAAACAGGGGTAGGGACATATCTTTAAAGAGGTCATAGTATTTGTCTAGAGGAAATAAAACACAAGAATTTCTAGCTGCTAAGTTAGTAACGTCTTTCCTATTTATTAATAGCTAGTATTTATCTACTAACTGGTGTTTTGTCATCAGTATACAGTCAAAAGTATAACTCCAACACCTGTTTCCCATCTGCCCTTTTCTCAGTTTGCCCCCAGATAACAACTGGGTTCATTTTACATGTGTCCTTACAGTTGCTTTAGGCATATGTAGAAAATTTTAATTGTATATGTATTCTTAATCCTTCCCTTTTTTTTTTTTTTTTTTGAGTTGGAGTCTCACTCTGTCGCCCAGACTGGAGTGCAGTGGCTGCTCCTGGCCACTGCAGCCTCGTCCTGCTGGGCTCCGGCAATCCTTCTGCCTCAGCCTTCCAAGTAGCCAGAATTACAGGCATGCGCTACCATGCCCAGCTGATTTTTTTATTTCTTGTAGAGATGAGGTCTCGCTGCCCAGGCAGGTCTCAAACCCGTGGGCTCCCACTTTTTTTTTTAGGTTGGGTCTCTGTTGCCCCAGCAACAATGCCACAATAACAGCTCACCACAGGCTCCACCTCCTGGGCTCAGGCGATCCTTCTATCTCAGTCTCTCCCATGTAGCTGGGACAACAAGCATACATCACCACACCTGGCTAATTTTTTAATATTTTGTAGAGATGAGGTCTTGCTATGTTGTCCAGGCTGGTCTTGAACTCCTGGGTTTAAAAGATCCTCCTCAGCCTCCCAAAGTGTTGGGATTGCAAGTATGAGCCACTGAGCCTGGCCTATTTTTTCCCTCATTAAAACACAAAAACCATCATTATTCACACCATGCAGCACTTTGATTTTTTTTTTTTTTAACTTTTTAATATGTCTTGGGGAGCTTTTCCAGTCAATGGATAAAGCGTCTCCTCATTTCCTCTTCTTCTTCTTTTTTTTTTTTTTTTTGTTGGTGTAGGCGTCTCACTCTGACACCCAAGCTGGAGTGCAGTGGCACACTCACGGCCACTGCAGCCTCCACCTGTTGGGCTCAGGTGATCATTCTGCCTCAGCCTTCCAAGTAGCTGAAACTATAGGTACATGCCATCACATGAGGCTAAACTTTTGATTTATTGAAGAGATGAGGTCTCGCTAAGGTGTCCAGGCTGGTCTGGAACTCCTGAGCTCAGGCAATCCCCTCACCTCTGCCTCCCAAAGTGCTTGGAAAACAGGCGTGAACCACCTGCCTGGCCTCATTTATTTTTACTTTATAGAATTATTATATGAATACGCCACAATTTATTTAACCAGTTTTCTCATTGATGGACTTTTGGATTGTTTCTTTTGTCATTTCAAATACTTTAATCATGACCATGCTCATACATCATGTTCACACACCATGCTCATGTACGTAAGATAAATCCTCAGATGTGGAGCTGCTGAGTTTAAAAGTATGTGCATGCAACTTTGATATCTGTTGCCCAGAAGCCTTCATACTGATCATGAGCCATTCTCTAGGGTCCAGAGCTCCAGAGATATTAGAGTAGATTTTAGAGGAGCAACTGGGCATAAATGTGACTCTTGGAATTTATAGCTTTCTTCCTGAAAAGGGAGAGCATGCTTTGTCAGCCTGTGGGCTTCTTTGGAAGTCCCCTGAAACTTCTGGGAAGTATGTAATGACTCAAGCCAGACCTTGGTCGATAGTGGCAGAAAAGCCCCTTCTCTTCCGTTGACAACAACAATGTTTTTCCTCTGGATGTGTAAAAAAGAGCCAGTGAGGATCATCTTCCTTTAGTGGCCAAAACCCACTTTGCTGTATGGCAGGGAAATGTCAAGGAAAGGTAATTTCTGCCTGGTGGCCTTGGCAGATTAGAACAAGGCCAGCTAAATTGTGCTCCTAGTTTTTAAAACCTGAGCCCAAGAGGGAATGATTAGAAACTAGGCCATTACTGACAGTGACCCAAGGATGCACTCCCACCACCACTTCCCCTCCAAAGACTGACTTTAGCAAGAGAGCTTCAACTAAGGGCGATGTATGAGGAAAAGTTTGGAACAAAGACAGGAAGCAATGGAGCAAAAGAGAGAGGAAAAGAGAAGAGCTTATCCTGTGTGCAATGATAAGGAAACTGTGATAGAATTTTATAGGCAGAGTCTGTAATCACTTCAGGAAAAAGCTAACAGTTCCTAGGGATTAAGAAAGTAGACCTTTCAAAAGTACACCTTCCCTCCCTCCATCCTGGCTTTGGGCCAACTCTGCGTTCTGTGCAGGGCTCCATGGCTCTATGCCCTCCTTGCCTGCCAACTGCTCCTGGCCTCAAGCCCACTCCCTTCCTGAGTTGGACCTGGGCCTCCTAACTCTGCCTCCAGACTTTAGCTGTCCACAGCTCTCATGCAAACCCTCTGGCTTCTTTTTTCTTTCCTTGAGCGTTTTCCCTGGCTAGGAGGAGTATGCTTTTGTGAGGTGAGTCCCATTCCTTGTCATGAGCTCTAGACACATCCCAGATCTGGGCGACACATAATGGGGCTGACCATCCAGCCAGGGAATACTTTTGAGTGTGTCTTGGGCGAAACTCATCTCTGTCATCAACAGTAGAGACAGATGCTCTTGAGGTCCTGGCAGAAGTGAGGTGATGTGAGTCACCAGTGTGCCTAACTGAAGGAGACTCTACAATGGCATCCTTGCCAGAATTCCCAGTTTCTCATCTCTAGCGTGGCCTTTGACAGTAGCATTTCTTTTCTGTCTCTCAGCATCTCCCCGACACACACTGTTGCCAAACACTATCTTTTGAAAGCACAAGTCTGTCACTCCCCTACTTAAAATCCTTCAATAACTTTCTGACATATCCAAGATTAAATCAAAATCCCCAAGCCTTGCACCCAGGGTCCTTGATGGCCTAGTCTTGATTTCCTGTCACTCCCTTCTTTTTAGTACCTTAGGCTCCAGACTTTCAGTTCCTCCAAACTTGCCTGAGACATTTGCAAGATGGCCACTCTTCTTTCATGAGTTTGCCCACAGGCCACCTTCACCCCTAAAAAAGTTATCTCCCTAGGCTGGTGTAGTGATGCAAGCCTGTAATCCCAGCACTTTGGGAGGCCGAGGTGAGACGATTGAGCTCGGGGTTCGAGACCAACCTAGGCAACTTGGGGAGACATTGTCTTTACAATAAATTAAAAAA